CTCAGCTGCAAGGTCAGCACTCGGGAGCTCTTCATTTACTTACGTCATCGTGCTCCTTTCCTCTGTCACACGTGTCCTTTACCAGCCCTGCCATTACCTTTGCAAAATGCAATCCACACAAAAGATCGTCATTGCAACTTGTAGTTACATGCCTAAAATTTCCTGCGTGCTTTGCAAGCATTCTTGCTGGATACCCTTTCCTGCAATCTAATTTGGAAGCACGCTGGGAGTGGTGGCGGTGCTTTTTGTTTGCTTGTTTGTTTTTAATGGAGCTGAGGAAAATCAAATAGTTTGAGAGCATGGTCAAAGGGCATCTACGTTGCACGGCTGCCCTGAGAAAGGTGGAAGTTCAGAGCAGGACACGTTGCTCACACTTCTGAACAGCTGCGGCTTGGGCTCCTGCTCAGGCCGTGTGCCTGGTAGCCCATGAGCTTTCCCCATGATTTGGGTTGGCTGCTTTCCCAGTAGGCCAGGTTGGCATATGGCACTACAAGACACAGATGGCTTTGGAGCCCGTATTGGTTTTCTCAGCCTGCGATAACAAAGTACCATAAACTGGATGGCTTCAAACAAGAGAAATTTATTCTCTCACAGTTCTGGAGACTAGAAGCCAAATCAGTGTCAGCAGGGCCATGCTTCCTCTGAGACTCTGGGTGGAATTCTTTCTTGCCTCTTTTTAGCTTCTGGTGGTGGCTGTTGATCCCTAGTGTCCCTTGGCTTGTGGCTGAGCCACTCTCATCTCTACCTTTTCATCACATGGCGTTCTCCCAGTGGGTCTCTGTGTCTTCTTATAAGGACACCAGTCACAGGGGACTAAGGACCACCCTACTCCAGTATGACCTCATCTTAACTAATTACATCTTCAATTTCCAAATAAGTCACACTCTGAGGTAACGGGGATTAGGACTTTTAGGGGACACAACTTAACTCATAACAGGGCCTCTTAATCAAAATTCAGTGTCAGCTACTTTTAAATGGTAGGGAAGAGGCTAGTCTGGGGACAGAGAGGAGGGACAAGTATGAGACAAGTCACTTATCAGGAGGGCACCTAAGCCTGTCAGGACAAGACAAAGTGGTAGGAGGCAATGTGGCAGGTACCCAGCCGGTTTATACCTTATCTTCTCAGATGATATTTCACATCACGCTATTGTTCACAGGTCACATGGAAGTCAAGGAGCATCTTTCCTATTTCAGAGCTTGTGACAGCTTAACTTTTCGAAAATTCAGTATTTTGGGGAATTCTAGAATGAAGGAGAAAGCTTAATTAACTGAGTCTGACTCCAAATGTTGACATACACTTTTATCCATATGTGGATACACGTGCATCCACAGCGTGGTAGGTTTGGTAGGTGGACTAATGGCTCCACAAAGATGTCATGTCCTAACTTCTAGAGCCTATGGATGTTACCTTATATGACAGAGACCTCACAGACGAAATTAAGTTAAGGATCTGGAGGTGGAGAGATTATCCTGGATTATCTGGGTGGGCTCTAAATGCCATCACAAGTGTCCTTGTAAGAAGCAGGCAGAGGGAGGTCACAGACAGAAGAGGCCATGTGAGGGAAGCAGAGTCAGAGAGAGAAAATGCTATATGTGCTGGTTTTGAAGATGGAGGAAGGGGCCATGAGCCCCTGGAAAAGGCAAAGACACAGATTCTCCCCTAAATCTTCTGGAGAGAGCATGGTTGTACTGACCCCTTGATTTTAGCCCTTTAAGGCTGATTTCGGAATTCTGACCTCCAGAATTGTAAGAAAATAAATTTCTGTTATTGTAAGTCACCAAGTATGTGGTAACTTTGTTAGAGCAGACATAGGAAAATTATAGAGTATGATTCCTTGTATTTAAATTGAAAAATAGGACCCTGTCTCTCTACATACACACATAATGACATCAAGACTTGAAGAAAATACAGTAAAACGTTAACAGTGTCTAACTCTGGTGGTTGGATTATGAGTGATTCTTTTGTCATTACTATGACTTCCTGCATTTTCCAAGATATCAAGAAAAAACTCTAACAGATTCTTGATTCTTTTTCTATTTTTTTCTTTAAAAGTTAAGGAAATGTTATTTGGTCTTAAAGAATATTAAAATTCTGACACATGCTACAACATGGATGAACCTTGAGGACATTGTGCTAAGTGAAATAAGCCAGTCACAAAAAGCCTTGTGATGATTCCACCTTTATGACGTACCTAGAGTAGTCGAATTTATCGAGACAGAAAGTAGAACAGTGGTTGCCAGGGGCTGGGGGGAGGGAGGAATGGGAGCAGTTGTTTACCAGGCACAGAGTTTTAGTTTTGCAAGATGAAAAGAGTTCTGGATATTGGTTGCACAGCGCTGTGAATGTGCTCAATACCACTGAACAGTACACTTAAAATTGGTGAGGATAGTAGATTCTATGTAATGTATACTTTACCACATTCAAATTTTTAAAATAAGCTCATTTATGTTATAAAAGGAGAGCATCAGTGATACCCTTAAAAATAAACATGCAGGGACTGGCCTGATGGCGTAGTGGTTAAGTTCGCACGCTCAGCTTCGACAGCCCACAGTTCGCAGGTTCAAATCCCGGCGCAGACCTACGCACCGCTTATCAAGCCACGCGGTGGCGGTATCCCACATACAAAAATAGAGGAGGATGGGCATGGATGGGCAAAAAGAGGAAGACTGGTAACAGACGTCAGCTCAGGGCCAATCGTCCTCACCAAAAATAAATAAATAAATAGATAAAAAATAAACATGCAGTATAGGATGTGATCTTAGTTACATGAGGTTGTATTTTCTCTGTACCTTTTAAATCCCTTGATAGCAGCCAGGGCCACCCCTCCACACGAACTTTAGACTCCTCCTCTGCCATCCTTTTCTCTATCGATTCTCCTGTTTTTGCTTTTGTCTTTACTCTTTCACTCTTTGCTTGATTTTTCTCCTCTGCCTATGAACATGTTCAAGTCTTTCTGGGCTGTGTTGGACCTCGAGACTATGTTAATCAATAGCTCCTTTTTGAAATGCCTCTTTGGCTTTTACAACATAATTTGTATATTGCACATACACTCTCCTTGAAGTGTGCCAGACAGGCACACTTCAAAACACTCCTCTTGTATTACTGATCTCTGGTGTCTTTCCAACATCCACACCAGGGGCCTATGTGTAAGACAGGATGATTCCCTTTCTGTCTCCCCGCCCCCCGAACCACCCACATAATCAGTCATCACGGCTGACTAATTTTACCTCCTTTGTATTCCTCTAGCCCTATCTCGTCTCCAGTTTCCAGCCCTCAGCCTGTCTTGTCTGGCTATTCCAATAGTTCAGTCTTGCCCCACCCTCCACACTGCAAGCAGAGTGATCCAGCTATACGGTAAACCTGGCCATGCTACCTCCTGCTTTCAAGTCCTTCAGTCAAGATGCACATCCTCCAGCATGGCACCCAACACGCTCCATGACAGGGCCCCTACCTGCCTGTCCGGACTCCTCTTCCACCTCTCCCACAGCTCAAGGTAACTTTCATGACCAAGCACCTTCATAACTTGCTGTGGTTCCCCAGCAATTTCTGGGCCTCTTGCCTCTCTTCATTTTCTCTGGCTGGAACACCCTTCCCCTCCACCTCACTGGACTAATACACAGCCACTTTCCTGCATACCGCTTAGGCATCATCTCCTCTAAGAGGCTTCCCCAGTCCTCAGTGTTCCCATAGTGCCCTGGGAACAGGTTGTTGCCTTAACAAGTTTTACTGAAGTTAACTATTTATGAGTCTGCCTTCCCACTAGCCCTCTAGCATCCCCCCCCC